GGGGGCGGTGCGTAGGCAGGGGGCAGCTCAGGGTGCAGGGAGGGGGTAACTAGGGGCTGTGCGTAGGCAGGGAGCAGCTCAGGGTGCAGGGAGGGGGTAACTAGGGGCTGTGCATAGGCAGGGAGCAGCTCAGGGTGCAGGGAGGGGTAGCTAGGGGCTGTGAATGGGCAGGGGGTAGGTCAGGGTACAGGGGGGTAGGTCGTGGTGCAGGGAGGGGGTAGCTCAGGGTGCAGGGAGAGGGTAGCTAGGGGCTTTGGGCAGGCAGGGGATAGGTCAGGGTGCAGGAAGGGGGTAACTAAGTGCTGTGTGTAGGCAGGGGATAGCTCAGGGTGCAGAGAGAGGTACCTAGGGGCTGTGTGCAGGCACGGGGGCTACCTCGGGATGCAGGGAGTAGCTAGGAGCTGTGTGTGGGTAGCTGGTAGCTCAGGGTGCAGGAGGGGGGTAGCTAGAGGCTGTGTTCCGGGAGGGCTCCCCCGATGTCCCTATTCCCTCAGGGCTTTGCCAGCCATGGCGTGGGTCCCCCACCCCTGCAGCTCTTACCAGCTGCGTAAGCAAATTGGGCTGGGAGTTGAGGAGCAGCTTCAACCCCCTGCACCAGCAGCAGAGGAGAGGACACCAGGGCTGCCTGCTCCATGGCGCCAGCCAGAGGAGCAGCTGCCCTGCATGCACAGCCCGGATCCAGCTTCCTGCCTCCAGCTTGGTGTGGGGGAGAGAAGGAGCTGTGGGGTGTGTGGAGCTTCCCTCTGGACTGCCCTGCACCTGTACTGCAGTTTGGAGGGACAACACCCCCGGTACCCACCCAGCTCTGCCCATGGGCTCAGGAGGCTTCACCCACAAGGGGAGCACCGGGGATCCAGGATTCAGCCCTGGCCCTCGGCTTCAGTCCCACCACTCATAGCTTGGGCGGGGGGGGAGCGCCAGGGATCGAGGATTTCAGTCCCGCGGCTCCCGCCTTCACCTCCAGGATCCAGGCTTCAGTGAGGGGGAGGGGCTGCCGGGGCTTCAGCATGGGGTTAGTGCTGGGGATGGGGATTCAGCCCAGGTAGGGAGAAGGGGCACCAGGCCTTCAGTCCTGTGGCTCCTGCCTTCAGCCCCCTGGAGGGCGCCAGGGATGGAGGCTTCAGCCTGAGGAGGGGGCTGCCAGGGTTTCAGTGGGGGGGGGGCGGCACCGGGGACAGGGTTTCAGCCGGGGGGGGGTGTCAGGGCTTCAGTCCCATGCAGGGCCGTCTCCAGCATTTCTGCCGCCCCAGGCAAAAAAAAAAAAGCCGCGATCGGCGGCGGCAGTTCAGCGGCAGGTCCTTCGCTCCTAGAGGGAGTGAGGGACCTGCCGCCCCCGAATTGCCGCAGGTGCCGCCCCTCTCCCTTGGCCGCCCCAAGCACCTGCTTGTTAAGCTGGTGCCTGGAGCTGGTCCCAT